TATATTCTGGAGATCAAGCCTTTGTCGGTTTCATTTGCAAAAATTTTTTTCCATTCCGTAGGTTGTCATTTTGTTTTACTTATGATTTCCTTTGCTGTGCAGAAGTAAATGAACCTTTAAAGTGTTATGCTGAGTGAAAAAATCCAGACCCCAAAGACCATTTATTGTATGATTTTGTTAACGTGAAATGTTCAGAATAGGCAAATCCCGAGAGACGGCATATTATTGGTTGCGAGGGTCTGGGAGGCCAGGGGACGGAATGGGGATTCAGTGCCAGTGGGTCTGGGGTTTCTTTTGGGGTGATGACAGTGTTTTAGGACTAGATAAACGTGGTAGTCTCACAATATTGGGAATATACTAAATGCCACTGAGTTGTTCATTGTAAAATGGGTAATGTTATGTTACATGAGTCTCAGCTCAGTAAAAAAAAGAAAAGAAATGTCCCAGCTGCACCCCATTTTCCCTTGAGGGTTTGAGCAGCCAGGTCTTGCTGGGCCTGTGATCCACGCTCCTCCTGCAGGGATGGCCTCTCCTCACCCACTGCCCCAACCAGCTTGCCCTGGTAGGGGACTGTGGGCTGTTGCTTTGGGGGAAGGTACTTGTCTCACCAGCAATTCCACCAATGCGGGTTCCAGATAAAGTCTAAAGACAGGAATTAGGAAGTCACGACACTTTGCCCCTTAGGTGGTTTCATCTCTGACTGTGCTTTTATTATAATCCCTGGATCAGAAGAGACTGCTTTCTGTAATGAGGTCTGTGACCTGAGCAGGGCGCCTGGCTGCCTTTGGATACCAGCCTCTGTTCAGATTCCTCCAAGAGACGGGGCACTGGCTGGGATCTCATGGCTCCGTTCTCAGCCCTTTGCTTTGGCCGACGTGTTTCCCAATCACAATGGTCTGAGAGGGGGGCTGTGATTCTTCTCATTTTACAAATAAGGAAACTGGGCACAGAGAGTTTCTGTAGCTTGCCTGAGACGGTGTAGCTAGCCAGGTGGAGCCAGCATCACAAACGAAGAACTTGTCCAACAGCCTCTTCGCTCTGAAGGCAATATTTTCAAGGCACTAATTGTATTCAAATACCTGTGATCATCCAGCCTTAGAGATCATTTTAACTTAGGTTTTTAAAAAATGAGTATTCAGATTAAAATACTGCTTTTCCTACCTTTTAGTTACATTATCTTAGAACATTTTCAAATAAAGAAATCCACTGTTGCTCGGCAATTAGGAGCAGGCTTACACGAGATGTTAGCCACTATATATAAAAATAGATTTAAAAAAAGTTTCTTCTGTATAGCACAGGGAACTATATTCAATATTTTGTAATAACCTTTAGTGAAAAAGAATGCAAAACATATATGTATATGCATGACTGGGACATTGTGCTGTACACCAGAAATTGACACACTAACTGTACATAAATAAATAAATAAATAAACTAATTAATTAATTAAAAAAATTAGGAGCAGGCTTTGGGCAGTCAGAGGAGTCAGAATTGGGTTTTCCCACTTTCCTTATGTGGACCATTCATTTTCTGCCACTTTGAAGCAACATTGGTTAGCTCTGCTGTGTTTTAGCTGCATTTTACAACCAAATCAATATGGATTAACTTGACCATTTGTTTCCTAGGGTTGGTACCTTTTGACTTCTCTCTCTAACTGGGTGCTAACTTTTCCTCTGCAGAGAATCCCGCCAGCTAGAAGTACAGATGGGAAACAGCAGGAGTCACCCGGGGCAGGGTCTCAGCTCACAGTTTCTTCCTGAGGAGCAGGCCGAGATTGACAGGTTGTTTGATGCTCTGTCATCGGAGAAACCCAGCTCAAATACGTCACCCAGATCCTTCTCTCTGCAGGCACTGAAGGCAAGAGTTACCCTCGGTGGTTTGTGTTTATTTGGAGCAGGGGTCAGGCCAAAGTTGGCTGTCTGGTCCTGTAAGACAGATGTGTGGGGACACTGAGAACCGTGTTTTCTGTAAAGGGACAGATAGTACCTGTTTTCGGTTGTGTGGGCTCTGTGGTCTCTGTTGCACCTACAGCAGTGTTTTGGGAACATTTCCACCCTGAGGTTGACTGGAGGGGCTGGCCTGCTTCCTGTCTCTGGGACCATCGTTTCCTGATTTCCTTGCGGACAGGAGACAGGTTGCCCTAGCTTTATTTGTGGGTCCAATAACTGCAAAGTTTCAAGCCTGCCTTAGCCTTGAGGATTCGTAAGCATTTGATGTCCTGGGAATTTTGTGGTTTTTGTTACAAAATAGCCAAGTTTCAGATTCAAGGGTCATCTGATGAGGAGTTAAAACTGCCCTTTTCCCCATCTTTTGGCCCCATTTCATGGGGCCTTTAACCGCATGTTTGAGTGTTCAGACAGAATGAGGCAATGGCAAAGAGATACCATCAGCCCATCTTCCTGGGTGTTGGGGAAGCCACGCAATGTGGGGAGGCATTTGAGAGGCTCCTCTTATAGAACATGAAGAATGGGAGCCGATAGCATTGGGCTGCCCCAACATCCTCACCTTCCAGTAGAGGAAACTGGCTGGGGAGGTTATTGGAGTCACAGATCCGTGTGTGTGTGTATCTCCACTAGAGCAAAAGCACCCTGGTCTTCTGGGTCACCCCCTAAGCTGGAGCAGACAAAACCAGACAGACCAGTTAGGGACTTGACTGCAGAGTTGGTGACAACCTTCACAAGTATTTATTAAAATAAACAGAGATGGAGGAGGGATGATATAGCTCCGTGGTAGAATGCATGCTTAGCATGCATGAGGTGCTGGGTTCAATCCCCAGTACTGCCAATAAACAAACAAACAAACAAACAAACCTAATTACCTCCTCCTCTCCCCTGTGCACACACAAAAAAAGATGAATAGAGTTAAAAGTTGATCAGAAAAGCTTGGCGACCGAATCTAGGTTCCTTTGGGAGGGAATTAACAGCTACTCTTCAGGAGAACTTTGAAAACACTGACAGAAGTAGGAAGACTCTTACTAAGCAGTGATCTTGGGAACCGGCTTCCCAAGAACCACAGAATGTTGTCACTGCGTAGACATGGTGAAGTTGTTTTGGAAGTATTCAGTGTTCAGATCCTACTGATTTAGTTCATGATTTACTTTCTCTCACCATGTATTTGCATATCCCTGGACCAAATAAGATTTGATGTTGGAGTCAAAGAGAAAAGGATATTTACAGAATATTACTGCAAGACAGCGAAGAACTAGATTTTAAGTTTAAGGAGAAATTGATGAAAAATGCATATTGAGCATAAAGGACTTGGATAAGAAGCAAAAGCTCACTGATATATTTGGAAGTTCCTAATACAGAGGAGACCAATTTTACCACTACACAGTCATGTGTTCCATGTCGTAATAAATTCAGGCCTGCAAATGACAGCTACTAAAATCTAGAATGGAGAAGATGTTGTAAGCAGAGTGAGGAGCAGATAATGTCCGGAGGCAGGAATGACATGGCCCTTCTGGGGAGACTGGGAAGTTTGGAGGGCAGGATGGGAATAGATTATGGAAGAGTCTGATGGCCAAGATGAGCCATAAGCCAGAACATGTTAGGTATGTGTGTCCTGGGGTGGTGTGATGCTCTTAGGTGGGGACAGATGGTGCATGTAGGATTTAGGAAGGTTGTGTGCAGGTAGCAGTGGTTGGTCTTGGTCCCCTAGATATTTTTCCATCATCCCTACTGGGTTTGACTCACACCCTGTCTGGCCTTTTCTCCTGCTTGTCCCCACAGAATCATGTTGGGGAAGCACTCCCCTCGGAGATGGTCACCAGACTATTTGAGGGCATGCGGAGGGTTGACCTGATGGGGAAGGTAAAGGGGCCTAGTGAGAATGTCTCCCAGGAGCAGTTCACAGTGTCCATGTCCCACCTGTTAAAAGGAAACTCTGAGGAGAAGAGTCTCGTGATCATGAAAATGATTTCTGCCACAGAAGGTCCCGTGAAGGCAAGAGAAGTCCAAAAGGTAAGAGGCCTCCTTTGCAGCCATCCCAGGCAGTCTTGGTGTACGCACGTCAGGGACCAAGGATGATTAAACAGCGGATGGAGGCATTGTGGAGAGGTCTACCGCTGGGGGACCCTAGACCATGTAACTGGTCAAGGTCCGAACCCTTGGACAAAGAGGCTTTGGCCAACTAACCAGCCAAGGGTATCGTTAGAATAATGAATAACTACATAAGTTACATGATCTTTTCCCACATGGTGGCCCATGACAGTTGGTCTTGAAGAGATAAAACCCTCTTCCCCACGTTGATATGATATAGGTCACAGGTCACAACAGAAATGTGATTAATGGTAAAATTGTGGTTTTCAAGTTTACAGAGGATCTGGTTGGCTCTGTGGTACACGTGCTAAACTACAGACAGGAGCTGAGAGGCTGGACTCAGAAGCAAGCCCTAGGTTCCCTGCCCAGGGTGCAGGTGCTGGCTGCTCAGCTGATCTCCGAGATGAAGCTTCCAGGCAAGTGCCCTGCATCAGATCTTAGACCTTGGCATCGAAGAGTGGTCCATGCTGTTTCGACTACTGTAGCCTTGTAGTAAAAATTTGAAATCAGCAAGCATGGGTCTTCCAACTTTGGAGGACTATTTAGATTATCTAATCAGTTGACATACAATTGTTCATAGTATTTCCTTATAATCCTTGTTTCTGCAAGGTTGGTAGTGATGTCCCGACTTTCATTTCTGATTTTTGTCATTTGAGTCTTCTCTTTTTCTCTTGGTCATTCTAGCTAAAGATTTGTTCACTTTTTGTCATTCCCAAAGAGCCAACCTTTTTGGTTTTGTGGATTTTCTTTGTTTAATCTATTTCATTTATCATCACCCAAGTCTTTTATTTCCTTTTCTTCTGCTTCTGTTAGATTTAGTTTGGTTTTCTTTTTCTAGTTTCTCGAGGTAGAAGGTTAGGTTATTGATGTGAGATCTCCTTTTTCGTATAGGCATTTGTGGCTGTAAATTTCCCTCTAAGCAGTGCTTTAGCTGAACCCTGTAAGTTTTGGTATATTGTGTTTGTTTTCATTCATCTCAGTATTTTCTAACTTCCCTCATGATTTCTTCTTTGGCCTATTGGTTATTAGAGGTATATTCTTTAATTTCTACATGTTTGTGAATTTCCCCACTTGCCTTCTGTTACTGACTTATAATTTCATTACATTGTGGTTGAAAAAATACGTTATATGATTTTAGTTCTTTTAAATTTATCGGGGCATGTTTTATGGCCTAATGTATGGTCTGTTCTGGAGAATGTTCCATGTACACTTGAGAGGAATATGTATTCTATTGTTGGCTGAGAAACTGTATATTTAAATTTACTTGGGATTTAAAAATACCTTGTGGTGAATCTCTTTATAAAGTAGACTTGTTTTATAAAAGTTTTACTTTACTGTAAAGCTGTATTTTTAAACAGTTTGAAAAACTAAGTGAGGGATTTAGATTTTTTTGGTTTTGTTTTATTTTATTGAAGTATATTTGATTTACAATATTGTGTTAGTTTCTGGGGTACAACAAAGTGAGTCAGTTGTACATATACATACATTCTTTTCAATTATGGTTTGTTACAAGGTATTGAATATAGTTCCTTGTGCTATACAGTAGGATCTTGTTGTTTATCTATTTTATATATAGTAGTGTGTACCTGTTAAACTCCTATTTTATGCCTCCCCCATCCCCTTTCCCCTTTGGTAACCTTAAGTTCGTTTCCTATGTCTCTGAGTCTATTTCTGTTTCATAAATAAGTTCATTTGTGTCATATTTTAGATTCCACATATAAGTGAAATCATATGGTATTTGCCTTTCTCTTTCTGGCTTACTTCACTTAATATGATAATCTCTAGGCTCATCGATGTTGCTATAAATGACATTATTTCATTCTTTTTTTATGGCTGAGTAGTATTCCAGTGTGTGTGTTTGTGTGTGTGTGTGTGTATACACACACCACATCTTTATCCATTTGTCTGTTGATGGACATTTAAGTTGCTTCCACATTTTGGCTATTGTTCATAGTGTTGCTATGAACATGGGGGTGCATATATCTTTTCGAATTACAGTTTTCTGTGGATGTATGCCCAGAGTGGGATTGCTGGATCATATGGTAACTCTATTTTTAGTTTTTTTACAGAGTTGCCATACTGTTCGCCATAGTGACTGCACCAATATACATTCCCTAATGAGGTATTTGAACTTGGAAAGAAAAATAACATAATATATGATACCCTGATATACATATGAAGTGCCAGTAGTTTGTCTTCTGACATCACAGCTGTTCTTAGTGGGTAAGAGATGGAAAGCAGGATGACGGATGCTTGTTGGAAACAATTAGGCATAATTTGTAGTTAATGAAACTCCTCTTCCCACATAAACTAGAGGGGTTCCCAGAAAGTTACCAACCTCTGCCCTGACTTGGCTGGAGGATAGCATGCTTCTAAATCCTTTCCAGATGACTTTGTTAGGACTAGTGGCTTTTGGTGTAGCTCTCTCAGGAAGGACTACTGGGGAGTTTTGGGGCCTTGGCATAAGGGTGTAGCTATCTCCTGGGGACTCTGAAATGCAGCTTGGAGCAGAGAGAAAAGATAGAGCATTGATGTTGAATTGTTCAGATGATCACTGTCCAACAGAGATAGAATGGAAGCACCAAAGCATACCACATGTGAAATCGTATTCTAATAACCACGTGAAAATAGCAAAAGAAACACGTGAAATTAATTTTAAGAATATGTCCAAAATATATTTAACATTGGCTATCAATGTAAAAAAAAATGATCAAGACATTTTACATTCTTTTTTCTTTCCATGCCAAGTCTTTGAAATTGGGTGTGTGTTTTACACTTACCGCGCATCTCAGTTCAGATGAATGGCGCATCTCAGTTCAGATGAACCGTGCACAGGGCTCCCCTGCTGGACCTGGCAGTTTAGATAAGTGATAGGAGATGTAATTGCCCACTTGTACTGTTTTCTCTTCCCCTAGATGGCGAGAAGCTTCTGGGGCCTGAGCAGCTGGCACATGACTGTGACCGAGCGGTGATCGAGGACTGGGTGTTCAGAACCCCCCACGTGGCCATGTTTCTGAGCGTGGTCATCCACAGAGGCTTTCTCCTGCGCTTGTCCCTCGATTTGGCTACCCTGATCCCTGAGCGCCAAGTGGACCTGGGGCAGGAGTTTGCAAGCATCCTGGATGTCCTATCCGTTGTCTACATCAACTCCCACCTGCCCAGGGAGTGGCGGCACCGCTGGCGCCTGCTATTTGCGTCCGAGCTCCACGGGCACAGTTTTGCCCAGCTCTGTGGGCGCATCACACACCAGGGGCCCTGTGTCATGCTGCTGGAGGACTGCGACAGCCATGTGTTTGGTGGCTTTGCCTCCTGCTCCTGGGAGGTCAAGCCTCAGTTTCAAGGTAAGACTTGGCCACCAAAACCCCAGGTGGTAGCATAGTGCTCCTTACAGGATCTGGTCAGATGGCTGCAGCCTGGAGACCTCTGAGCACCGACAAAGGATGCATGTGTTTCTTCCATCTCCTCCCCCAAGTGTTTTCCTAGATGTGTTTGGGAAGCTGGTGACACACAGGGCTTCTGTATGGTGGTTTAACACTTCGTGGATTTCTTTATAGATTCTGGCTGTAGGGTCAGGTAAGCAGGAAAGGGATCCTCACCCCTGGATTTCAGATGAGGAAATGGCGTCTCAGCATCATTAAAGGGTGCCAGGTCCAGGCCACAGGAGAGGCTGGGTCGTGGATGCCGTGTGAGGGACCAGGAGACGCCAGCTCTTTCAGGTGGAGGTGTGTTTTCCCTTGAGGGACCGTCTTCCTTTCCTGGAATCACCTCTGTGTACGTGCTTTGCTGCTTCTGCCTGCAGTTTTTCTGTTTTGTGCTTTTGCTGGAGATTGGAAGCTCTGTGCCAGACCTTGAATGCCCTGGATGGAAGGCCCTAAGTAAATCCTTCTGCTCCTCAAAGAAGGTGCTCCGATAAGAGCTTTTAAAGGGCTCTTTGAAAACACTCACCTCCTGGCAGTGGGCTGTCCTCATACTCAGAGGTGAACCTTCCTTCGCAAGATTGATGTCACTGCGTGTTTCCCAGTGTGTGGCCTGGGCTGCCCGGGTCTGTTCTCATGAGGTCTCCTGGGGGCCAGTGGCTATGAGACGGAGGGCTTTTCCTAGTGACTCTGAGCAGCCAGATCCAGGCCCACCCTCACTGTCCTGGGCCAAATGAGACGGCCTGGCCGTAGCAGTTCGGGGCGGTGGGTGAAGGGATGGGACTAATACCCTCCACGCTGAGTCAGCAGAAGGGAGGACCCAAGGTTCTGAGATGTGAAAGACTGGGTAGAAATGCCCCATGCCCCTCGGGCGGGGTCTGCACATCAGAACCACACTGTCATCAGTTGCTGTTTATTCTTCCTGTGCCCCCCTCCCCCGCCTCCCCTTTTCTCCACCCTGCTCTCCCCTGTGTTATTGCAGGTGCCTTCTAACTGGCCCTCAGCTCTTAGTCTCACCAGTCCAGTCCCTTTGCCACATCCCAGTATACCCAGTGTGGTGCTCTTCCCCTGGGGACCCTCGGACAGTCCCCTCAGTGTGCTCAGAATGGCACTCCCTTTATCTTCAGCCTCACACCCCTCCTGCTCTCCTGCACTCATTGCTCAGTCTCACCGAACTACCTGCAGTTACCAGAATAGGCTGCACTCTCTTCTCAGGACTTGGCACACATCCTTCTCCCTCTTCCACCTGTTTGCACAGTCAGCTCCTTGTCGGGACCCAGTCCAGGGTTCCCTCCTCCAGGAAGCGTTCTGGACCGCACGAGGGCCGTGCGCTCCTTGTGGTCCTGTGTCAGACTGCATGCCTCTGGAATTGTTCCCATCTTCCCTGCACTAAAGAGAGCTTCTGTCAGCTGGGGAGCCGTGTCCAGGTGCAGAGGCGCCATTGTGGGAAAGGTTTTAGCAGCAGTGGGTGGCTATTGTCTGGGATGGGTGGAAGGGATCATGAAGTGACTGTTGGGAGCCTCTATCCTTGAGGTCTGGTTGTTTCCAGAATTTGGTTTTCTCTAGGTTTTAATCTAGTTGCTGCTACCAGCCCTCCCCTGCTGTTTCAGGGTCCATAAGACTGCTCACACATCAGTGTTGTACTAGGGGGACTCGGGGACTCAGCACATGGCTGTCATCACAGCAGGTTTATCACAGTGCCAGGATGCAGAGCATGATCCGCCCAGGGGACGGGTGTGAGGGGTGAGGTCCAGGGGGAGCCCGGCTCCAGTCTCCAGCTTCTCCCCTGGGGAGTTGCACAGGACACACTTAACTCCCCCAGCAGCACGTTGTGACAGCACATGTGCGGTGCTGTCCATCAGGGACACATTAGAGATTCAGTGCTCAGTGTTTTTACTGGGGGCTGGTCATGTGAGCACCCTCTTCCTGACATGCATGCAAACTCCAGACTCCCAGCAGGAATCTGGCATGAACCACACTGTTTGTACACACGGTTTAGGCACAGGGAGCCACTCGTCAGTCCTGGGAGTGGGGGAGCCGTCTCCAGATCCAAATTCCTGGATACCAGCTGAGGGCTGACCTTGGAAGCAGGCCTTTCTGGAGACCCCAGTCTTAAGCCTGCTGTGGGCGCTTCTGCACACCTACCTCTCCCTGTCACAGTGTCACAGTGAGGGGGAGTCTGGGGAGTGACAAACTGGGGCTTATGTGGTTGGAGGTGCTGCATTAGGATGTGGAAAAACTCCGAGAATCATTATTGTAGATAAAACTTCCACTTCTTCCAAGCTCCTTTAATATTAACTCAAGGTCAGCTCTGCTGTGTCTTAATGTTTTATTAACAAGCAAAATTCATCTTGAAGAACTGTGGAAACCATGCAGTTACCAAGTTTTCAAACTTGAGCTCATTCTGTTATGAAGCATGAGTTTGGAATTCCAGCAGAGGGCAACCTAGCTTCACAAATTGTGGTCAAGTTCAGCACGTTCTTGTCCGTTTGTCCAGAAATTGTCACCTTGAATAGCTGAGCCTTGAAGTGACGTGACAGCCACAGGGTCACTTCATTCTCATTTCTGTTGTCCGTGGGACAACTGAAGGCCTGAGGCTCAGGGCTCAGCACACAGCCACTGAGTCCCGCTCTGTCCTGGGCTAGATGCTTAACGTTACTCTCTGGGCCTTGGTTCCTCAGAACCGTGGGGAACTGCAGCTTGTAAACCATCAGGCAGTGCGTGTTGTTGACATTTTGAGAGTCGGATGAGGAGCCCTTCTGTGGGATTGATGTTTTTGCAGGTCGTGTGACTCCTTCGTCCTTGCCCTGCACCCTAGAGGGTCATCTTCTCCATGTGGCCGTCCCCTCAGAGCATGGACCTAAGGATGGACTAGAGTGGGGTCTTTTGTAGCCAAGGGGCCTACACTCTGTGTCACCTCACTTAGCATCCAGGACCCAGTAAATATTGATTGAAAGTCAGCCTTAGGATTGCAAGGCCAAGTGCCCGGAGCTGCAGGTGGGCCAGACAGTTCCCTGAGTCCAAACCTAACCTTCTAGGGGCGCATGGACTCAAGCCTAAGTCCTTAGCCTGGAGGGAATCCCTGACTCCAGGGACCCTTGAAGGAGCTAAGTCTCTGCAGAGGTCCCCCCAGGGCCCATCTGGATTAGAGGCCTAAGTGTTACTGGTCCTGATTGTCAGTCCAGACCCATCTCCTGGTGAGGTCTGTCCTCCCCAAGGCCCCTCAGGGATTCATATCCCCTTTGGTGTCTGCCCTCCACATTTGTGCTCCTTGTCTACTTTCTGGAATTCCCTTCCCACCTAATGGATGGCCTGACCCCTAAGTACCTGAGCTCAGTCTTGTGTCAGGTGCCCTCACATTGTCACCATGAGGGAACAGTTCTTCCGGCCAGGATCTCATCACTCTGGGGAGCATCTCTGGTCTGGCTCCTACCTAGCCAGGAACTCCCTGGGTCAGGCTCAACCTGCATCCCTTTCCCTAGTGAGTGAATCAGAGAAGGGAGGATTCTCTGAGACTGAGGATGCTGTTCATTTCCAGAGTTTTGACTGGTACCACCTTTGAATGGTGATGTGCCCATGTCTGTGCCTTGGGTGAAGTTCTGATCACCTTTCACTGTGTATCCCCTTCCCTCCCTAGGGGCAACTGTGTCTGCAGGTATCCTCTTCTCTCTGGATGATGTGCTCTTTTAGGCTGGGGCCAGCCGCACACAGCGTGATGTGCCTACCTGAGGCTGCGTGAATGCCAGGCCGGTACCATTGTCCTTAAGAGGAGACTGCATTTTGTGAGTCTGGGGAGCCATGGGCAGAGCTCCCAACTCCGCTCTCCTGGGTGGCGCTAGCAGGCAACAGCAAGCAGGTGTCACGTTCTTTTTCAGTGGTCACTCTCACGCCGCACCCCAAGTTCATCCTCTGGATCTCCAGGCAGTTACAGGGTCTAGGAACCTGCCCCCAGCGTCTGGGAACCCCATGCACACTGAGGACCTGTGCAGGAAGCCTGTGAGCTCAACCTTCTGAGCTGGGGCCTGTCTCCTGCTTCGTTCTGTGCCTGGCTCCGATGGATGATCCTGCTTCTTTTTGCTCTGGTCACTTTCAGGGGATGACAGGTGCTTCCTGTTCTCCATCTTCCCCCGCATGGCCGTGTATACCTGCACGGGCTACAATGACCACTATATGTACCTGAATCACGGGCAGCAGACCATCCCAAATGGACTGGTAAGGGCAGGGTATGTCCCCCACTTCGTGATGTCCACTGGGATGGAACGACCCTGATGTGCCCCCAGACACTCCACTGTGCATCAGGGTAGCCGTGTATGGTTGGTTCCATGCGCATGCGCAGTCAGTTCCTTCTGCCTGGGGCTCAGGGCGGTGATGCCACGAGCGACAGCTAGGACAGAATTTCTATCAGAAAAACGGGGCCTCTGTTGGAGCATTTCTGAGGTTTGTGTGCAAAGGACGGATTTGGCCAATTTTCCTGGTCTATGACCTTCATAGCTGGAGACGCTGCCCTGCCACATGCCTGGGCCATGAGCCAGGGGTGGTGCCACGCTGGGACTGGGCTCCCTGGACCCATCCTGACTTGTCTGCTCCAAGCTCCAGCCTCAATTTGGCCACAGGAAGGAGAGGATGAGGGTGAAGGCCAAGGGCGGTAGAGAGGGTGGGGCGAGGGGGACAGGGCTGGGCTGGGCGCTCACGCAGTTGCTTAGTTTGGGTGAGAAATGTGTCTGCTGGCAGCATCAGCCTATTTCTTTTCCCTGCTTTGAAACAAAAAGCACCTCTTGGGATAATCCAGGCCTGTGCCTGGAGAGCCGAGGGTGCAGGAGTCTCGTCCACTTGTCTGCATGCAGAGGGCCCCCTGCTCCTTCCCAGGCTCACTGTGCGGCTCCCGTGGGGCCACCTGATGACCCAGATGCCTCCCAGAAAGGGCAGTTGTGTGACGACGGGGCAAGGGCCTTGGCCTCAGAAGCAGCACCCAGTGGGTCCCCAGTGGTTGTCAGTAATGGACTGAAGGGGAGAAGTGGCCCTGAGGTCGGCTGCATTTCCTGCCCTGGTCTCTTGCTCAGCGCTAGCTCCCAGGCCCAGGGCCCCGGGGAGAGGCGGTGGTGGAGGTGGCACCCAGAGCAAGCAATCAGAGAGAATGAACAGCAGTTCTGGCTTCCAGCCAGCAGTGTGCCGAGTGGTTCCTACCTTCACCAAGGCTGCTTCCTCCTCCCCTCCTTGCCGTGGGCTGCACTGAGTAAGGGACATACCTGCTGGAGCACAGCGCCCTGGGTCCCGGTCCTGGTCCTGGCAAGGATCAGCATCCCTGTCGGGGGGCCCGGACACAGGTTTCCCAGCATCAAGTGCTGCGTAGACTTCTTATTTTACTGGTTTAAGTCTGTAGGCCTGATGGTCTGTGTTTTTTTGTCCTTTGCTGTCACCTGTATTTCCTGCCAGTGCAGCCCCATGAGAAAGTGGGAGTCAGGACACCTTGATGAGTTCTCTAGTAACTTGTAATGGGATACTTAAATTGCACCAATCTATATATTTCACAGTTAAAAAAAAAACAACAAGGAAGAAAACCGCATTCATTCCTTCTCTGCCCCGTCTCAGCCAGCATGAAGGCTTGTGTGGGCTGAGGGTGTCTGATGCTTTGCAGGGCATGGGCGGGCAGCACAGTTACTTCGGGCTGTGGATCGATGTTGATTTCGGGAAAGGACACAGCAAGGCCAAGCCCACTTGCACCACGTACAACAGCCCTCAGCTGTCGGCCCAGGAGGACTTCCGGTTCGAGAGGATGGAGGTGTGGGCGGTGGGAGACGCCTCGGTGACACAGCCGGTAAGTGTGGGGGACATTTCTCCACTTTCTCGACTTTACCTCTTTTCTTCCTCCATCTAGAGATGGTTTATTCCACATTTGTTTCCAGCAGCTGTTCTGGCCAGGGGATGCCGGTGGGTGCAGAACAGAGCTGGGAGTCCTTTCTGGGATCTGTGGGGGTCTAGTAGAAAGACTCACCTAGGGAGGTGGGATCCCGAGTTATGGGGGGCTTGTCTGCAAGAAAAGCAGGGTCTGGGGTTCCCTGTCATTCCAGGGTTCTGTGATGAGGCATTGTTGGGCCCCCGCATCTGCCCCTGCACCTCATCACTTCACCAAGAGGGCGTCCCCGGTTAGGGGGCACTCAGTAGGGGAGCTAGATCCCCCACCAAGTTTTTCTTATGGCAGCAGTAGGATCCTGATTCCACTCTGATAAGCTTCACACCAGTGGGGCATGACTTACTTTTGGTCATTGAACGCACCCACTCTTCCTTTCCTCCCAAGGTCAAGAGCAGCAAGAGCATTCTGGACGTGGACCTTGAGGCCCAGAGCCTGTTGGAGATCAGTGGGCGGAGTCGCCACAGTGAAGGGCTCCGGGAGGTCCCAGAGGAGGACCAGTGATGGGGAGCCCCCAGCGTGGGCCTTCCTTGAGCTGGAGCACAGCGCCCCCAGAGAGCGCACAGCCTGAAAACCCTCCCCCACCCCGAGCCGGCTTAACTTTAACATAACGTGTGCTGGTCATGTCCAGGTGGTCCTGGTGTGCTTAATCAGACAAAGTAAAGTTCCTCTGATGCCGTCCATCAATTAGTGGGTGTACCTGCTCCAGAAATCCTTAGTGTCACATTAGCAACTTGATTCTTACACTTCTCTCATTTCGTATGGATGAGCTCAGAAGAAGCTGAGACCTGCTGGGATTAGCTAGTGTGTGTTGGGCATTTGGGTTCTTGCTGTTGGAGGGAGGGGACCCACCCGCCAGGAGTCGCTTGGCCTCTGCTCAGGCCTCCCAGGCCAAAGCCCTGATGTTCCATTTCTACTGGTAAAGGGCAGTGATGTGAATCTGGATGCTTTGGGGAACAGCTTCCTATGACATGAAATTTCTGTATTTTTTAAAAAGCACTAACAGTGTACTAATGGGGGAAATAGCAGAGGGTTTTGAGGATAACAGTAGCATGGGGCTTCAGTAGGTAGTGAATTATCCCTATTGACAGAGCTCTTCAAGAAGCTTTCACATCTGCTTTTTCAGTTTTTAAATGACTCTGTGCTGTGAGCAAAGGGGAAAACTGGGAGAGCTACAGAGAAGCGAAGTCGGGGTGCTCTTACTGATTTAAATATGGGGACACTCGGGGCCCTAAGGCTGAGAGTCCTGTTCGTACGTGTACTGCTGGCCGTAGGAGTTAGTGGTCGAGAAACCTGCGTGGGCTCCTGAATTCCTGGTGCTGCCCCCAGAGGGGAGGATGGGTAGTGGATTTGCTTTCAGCAAACCCCAGCGATCCGTAAACGGTAAGGAAGATGGGCCACCTCCCGTCCAGTCCCTCCGAGGCAGTCTGAAGAAACTCCAAGGGCTCATCTCCAAGACGTGTGCCTCTGCCTTTGCCTTTTGCTACACGTTAATCTTCTGCAGATCTGATGAAAATGCTGCATTATTAGAGTTTGCCTCAATTATAAGCCATAGTAAACAGAACTGTTCGCATTTTGCAGGTTCTGCATTTTCTACCAGGAGGCTGATCAAACTTTGCAGTTAACCCTGAGCTGAAGGCCTTGCTAATTAGCCTTCAGAGGAGCCGTGCGAGCTCAGGTGGTGTTCCCAGGGACAGCCACATGATGCCCGCAGACTTGGCCGTGATTGATTTTCCCTATAAAAAAGCCAGTTTTTTTTAATAGCTTCTCAGGTACATTATGTGACTTCCTAACTGATGGGAAGCAGATATAGCATATTAGGATCCTCGGATATCCTTTCTGTAATCTGGAGAATTAGGTCCTGAGTCTTCAGTTTGTTATGGAATGTTTTTGTCTTTTTTTATAAAAATGCAATGAAATAATACCTCTGTAATAAAAGATCCATTGAATACCACTTACCACTGCCTCTGTGGCTGTCAGAGAGGCTAGGTGTGTCTGCCGGCCTACTTTCTGCTTTGAGCCTCTTCTAACAAGAGTGCAGGAGAGGGTATAGCTCAGTGGTAAGAGTGTGTGCTTAGTGTGCACGAGGTCCTGGGTTCAATCCCCAGTACTGCCATTAAAAAAAACCTTTTTAAAAATTTATAAATCTAATTATATTTATAAATACCCCCCACCAAAAGTGCAGATCACACATAGAGGCCTGACTGTTTCACTTACACGCGGAAAGGAGGACCCCCAGCCCAGGCTTTTGGTCACCTGGGGGACACTGTCCTTGCGGTGGACGTGGTGTGGCCATGTGACTCCCCATTAGGTGTGGTTCTGAGCACACAAGCTAGTTTGGTGTCAGCCATGCCTGGGGCCATAGGACCCTAGGACATGAAGAGTTTGTTCTCTGATAAAATGGAAATAAGAATTCAGGTTGTAAGGCTCCATATCCACCCATTTGTTCTTATTGTGTAACGTACCACGAGAATAGACGGACGCCCCATCCTTTCTAGGAGCGAGCATCCTGGCTGGGGATGTTCTGTTTGTAGCGAATCGTTGCTGGGGTGGGTATCCTTTGTCTTGTGTGTGTCTTGGTGTGCTTTTGTCTGAGGATAAACTCTTTGAAGCTGAATTATTGGCTCAGAAGGTACAGGCTTTTTAATTTACATATTAACAAGCTAACAAACCTCTTTCAATCTCAGTTTATGCTTCCAAATCTTGGAGTGCCCGTTTGCCTTGTTTTCACCAACACTATATTAAAATTTAGTTTTTGTTTACCTGATACCCAAAACCCATAATTTTATTTTTATTTCTCTTATGAATGACAGTGAACAGCTTCATCTTTCAAAACCCATCTGCATCATATCCTTCACCTGGTTTTCTAGGGTCTGGGTCTTAATGATTTGCAAGAGTGCTCTTTTGAATGTAGCAAAATAGCGTTTGCTGTGTATGGTAAATATTGTTTCCAGTTTGTCTGACTTTATTTTTCTGTACATAAATTTTGCATTTTATGTCATCATATTTGCTAGCATTTTCTCTTAAGTCTCCTGAGATTTGTGATCTGCTGAGGAAGTTTTTCTCCACTCTGAGATTTTAAAAAAAAAATCCATCTTTTCTTCTACTACGTCTGTGCTTTCTACTTAGATGTCTAAATCTTTGATCCATTCAAAATGTACTTTAAAATATACCTTTATCTTACCCCCAAATAAATCCCAATACATTTTATATTAAATAGCGTGTCTCTTTCCCACCGACTTAAAATGCCACTTTCTCATAGACTGTATTTCTATATGAATTTAGATCTCTGTCATGTTTTAATTATCGGAGTTTTATGATTAAAAGATGTAAGAGCTAGTCCTCTGTTACTTTTTTTTTTTTAATTTTCCTTCAAATGGTTGCCTGCTTATTTTCTTTGATCTTTGGTAACACTGACTACTTCGAAAAAGCTTGATACTATTTTCGAGATGGCATTAAATGTAGACTAATGTAAGCAGAACTGACATTGGCTAATGCTGATTCTTCCTATCCAAGAACAGGAGCATCTAAATTTGCTTTCTAAATTTTTCCTGTTGTTGCAGGCACGGTAAGTGGACATTTTCCCCCCTAACTAATGATTGTTTGAACCTAGGAAAGCTCTTGATTTTTCTACATTGTTTGGACTAAATTACCTTTCTGAATTCTGTCTAGTGGTTCTCAACCTTAAGCCTGCATCAGAAACACCTGAGGGCTTCTTAAAGTGCAGACTAGGGGCTTCCACCTACAGGGTTTGATTCATTAGGTCTGGGGAGTGACTTGAGGATTCACAGTGCTAATGAATTCCCAGGTGATGCTGTTGTGACTGGTCAGGAAACCTCACACTGAAAAGCCACTGCTGTTCATTGTTCTTGATTATCTATGAATTCTCAGGGAGTTTGCAGCTATTAGAATTTTTTTCTAAAAAAAAAAATTATTTTGCCTTTATTTTCAAAGGATTGCTTTTGCTTTTCTTTTTTTTTTTTTAAAGGTATTTTGACATTTTCCTCCTAGCGTTTAGAAGCATCTTTCTGTTGTATTTTGGCTTGCATGATTTCTTCTCCTTTCCTCTGGCTTTATTGAGATACAGTTAACACATAAGATTGTGTAGGTTTCAGGGGTGTACTGTGTCAGTTGTGGCTGTTATGATGGTATACCCGGGAATAAGGATCATTTTTCTGCTTTTCTGATTTCTAGACCTTTCATTTCTTTCTCATGATTAATTGTATCAGCAAATACTTTTAGAATTTTAATAATAATGGTGCATCCTTCTCATTCCTGACTTTAATGGAGATGCATCACCTTTTATCATTAAGCATGATGCCGGCTTTTGTTTTGAGATGTTTCTCATTTATATATTTACTTTTCATCCAAAGAAAGTACCCATTTGTATTTGTTATTAAGAGTGTCTATAAAGAGTAGATGTTGAATTTTATAAAAAGCTTTTTTTGATATTGTTTTTTATATGCATTTTTAAAAGCCTTTTATTCATGTTTTATTTTTTAATTTTTTGGAGGGGAAGGTAGTTTTACTTATTTATTTTTTTAGAGGCGGTACCCCGGAACCCAGGATCTCGTGCATGCTAAGCATGCACTCTACCATTTGAGCTATATACCCTCCCCCCTTTTGTTATTTTTTATTGAAGTGTAGTTGATTTACAGTGTTAGTTTCATGTGTACAGCAAAGTGATTCAGTTATATGTACATATATATATTTTCAGATTCTTTTCCATTATAGCTCATTACAAGAAATTGAATATAGTTTCCTGTGCTATACAGTAGGTCCTTGCTGGTTATCTATTTTATATATAGTAATTTGTATCTATTAATCCCAGAGTCCTAATCTGTCCCTCCCCACCCCTTTCCCTCCTGGTAACCACAGTTTGTTTTCTATGTCAGTGAGTTTGTTTCTGGTTTGTAAGTAAAATTTGTATCATTTTTTTAGATTCCACATATAAATGATATAAATATCATGATACTTGTCTTTGTGTGACTATGCTTAGTATGGTAATCTCTAGATCCATGCATGTTGCTGCAAGTGGCATGGTTTCATTCTTTTTTATGGCTGAGTACTATTCCATTGTATATACATTCCACAACTTCTTTATCCAGTCATCTACCAATGGGCATTTAGATTGTTTCCATGTCTTGGCTATTGTAAATAGTGCTGATGTGAACATTGGGCTGCATGTGTCTTTTTGAATTACAGTTTTCTCCAGATATATGTCTGGGAGTGGGATTGCTGGATCATATGGTAAGTCTGTTTTTGTTTTTTTAAGGAAGCTCTATACTCTTTTGATTTTTCAGCATCCATGATTTTCTTCAGTTATTAATAAGAAATACAAAATTAATAAGGTTCCAAATATTGAGCCATCTTTGTGTTGTAACTATCACTCTCCTAGTGTGTTAATTCAGTGGGTCCACGTTTGCCGCTTTTGTGGCAGTGTGTATAAATGAGTTGGTCTGTGGTTTATTTGTTTTGTTTTGGCCAGATTTTATGTTAAGTTATGCTTTAAAGTTGTGCTGGTCTTACAAAAATAACTTGGAATCTTTCCTTTTCCAGTTTCTAGAAAATGCAAGTGGAAAGGAGTTCCTTAAAGTATGGATAAAATTCATCTGATATTTTTTGGTTTGATGTTCGAGGGAAGGGGTTAACTCTTGATAACCTTATCCGTTTTTTTAAAAAATCATCTGGGTTGTTTGAAATCTCTGCTGGGATCAGTTTTGATGATTTTTAAATTTCTTAGTAAATTTACTGTTTCATTCAAGTCTTCAAATTAATTTATGTAAGATTGACCAACATATTTGAATTTTTTTTTTTACTGTTGTGGATTTTTTTTTCTTACAGATTCCTTTCCTTTTTTTTAGATTAGATTCTACCAATTTTGTTTTTAAATTAATTTTGCTTTTATATTATTTCCTCCTGCTTATGTTTTACAAATCAATTTTTAAAATTTGATTATTAACCGACTAAACAAAAAGACTGAAAGTAAATGAATATGGAGCTGCTCTTTTTCCTGTGAGCTCTGCTTTATGGAATAGCCCGGCACAGACTCTGAGCTTCTGGATTTTCTGCAGTTCTATCTCAATTTCCTCTTGGGTCCCAGAGTTTTAACATATTGGTATGCTAGAGAATTTCCCCACAACTTCTGTTATGTTGTTTTGTTGAATGGCGATTAGAGAATCATCTGTGTTCTGTCTACTTGGAATCAATTGAGATTCCAGCTGTGTCCTTACCTGTGGCAGGTTATTGGTGAGAGAGGTCATCAGTGTCTACATTTTGGAATCAGTTTGTGTCCTTACCTGTGGTCCATTAAGAGTATCCAATGAAGTTTCTGTGTCTTTCCTTAATTTTCCATACTGTGCTCTTTGAATTTGGATGTTGGGGCATACACAGGCTTATCAGATTTTTGGTGGTGATTATGTCATTAATTTCCCTTCTTCTCACTGAATGCTTTTGGCCTTGATTTTGATCTTGTCTGACATTTATAGAATCACCCCTGTTGTGTGTGGTATTGTCTGCATTTGCCTAGTATATTTTTGCTCAATTTTTGAGTCTTAATTTTTTCCCTTATAAACTTTATTTTGAAATAATTTTATATTGACATAGAAGTTATAAAAATAGTAGAGAGGTCCTATGTACCCGTCACCCAGCTTCCTCCAGTGAAAACATCTTAAAGAACCATTACACAATGATCAAAACCAGGAAATGGGTGTTAATGCAATACTATGAACTAAATAGCTCAAACCTTACTTGAATTTCACCATATGAATTTTTCCATAGTACCTGATTTGAGGCAAACTTGAGACTAAGGGCACAGTCCTCCAGATGGCAAAGTCTGCCCAAGACTTCTGACCCCAACTGCAAATTGAGGGAACGCCTCAAACCACCCTCAGTTTGGATAATTCACTAAAAAGAAAAAACTCACTGAAATCTATCATACTGACAGTCATGTTTATTACAGGGAAAGGATGCAAATTAGAACCAGACAAAGGGAAGAATCTGGGAGGGTTGGAAACACAGAGCCTCTGTCATCCTCTCCCTGGGAGTCCTGGAGAGGCACTGCACCTGAGAGTGGTCTTGGGGACCCCTGCCACAGGTTATGTGAAATTTTATTCCATGTGTAGAGGAGTGAAACTACCACTACCATCAGGATAGAGAACTGCCCCATCACCCCCCAAAGTCCTTCATGATCTCCCTTCCCCCCAGTGACCTCAGATACATTCTCCATCATTGTAATTTTGTCATTTTGAGAATCCAATGTCAATGGAACCATGTATTATGTAACCTTTTAAGACTGGATACTGTCACTCAGCATAATGCCCTTGAGATCCATCCAAGTTGTCCTGTGTATGTTCCTTCTCATTATTGGGTAGGATTCCATTGTCTGGATGCACCTGTTTCTTTATCCATTCACCCTCAAAGGACATTTGGTTTCTAAGGCTTGGCTCTTATAAATAAAACTGCCATGAACTTTCACATACAGATTTTTGTGTGAACATAAGTCATCTTTAGGATCAATATCTAGGAGTAGAATTGCTGGGTCAAATGCTAAGTGTATGTTAAACTTTACAGAATGTTGCCCAACTGTTCTGCAGAGTGGCTGCAGCATTTACATCCCCATCAACAATATATACAAGTTCCAGATGCTCCACATCCTTGGTAGCACTTAGTATTGTCAATATTTTATTTTAGCCACTTTAATAGGTGTGTAATCTCATTGTGGGTTAAAGTTGCATTTCCCTACTGGTTAATGATATTGAACAACTTTTCCTATGCTTATTTACCATGTGTATGTCCCCCCTGTGGTGAAGACTCAATTTAAGATTTTTCCTCTTTTTCTAAATTTTTTTTAACTGTTAAGTTTTGAGTTTTAAAAAATATTCTGGATCTAAGTCCTTTGTTAGATATGTGATCCAAAAAGTGTTTTTCTTTCAGTATGTGGGTTTAAAAAATTCTCTTAATTGTAACTTTCATGAGTAAAATTTGAAAATGTTTGTGAAATTCAATTTATCAATTTTTCTTTTCTTTTATGGATGGTACGTTGGTATCATATCTAAGAACTCTTTGCCTAACCCTAGATTACAAAGATTTTCTCTTTTGTTTTCTTCTGTGTTTTGGGCTATGGCCCATTTTCAGTTAATTTTTGTAGAAGGTATGAGGGGTTCTTTTCTGCTTATGGATGTCTAATTGTTCCAGCACCCTGAATTGCTGTTGGATTTTTGTCAAAAATAAATGGGTAATAACTTGTGGGGCTAATTCTGGCCTCTGTTCTGTGACATTGATCTGTGTGTGTTCCTTTACCAGTATTACCTTGTCTTGATTACTGTAGCTAGACAGTAAGTCTTCAAATCAGGAAATAGATTTCCTTTTTCAGAAATGTTTTCATTCCTTTATCTTTACATATAAATTTTAGAATAAGATTGTCTACGTCTTTTAAAAAAAATCCTTCTGAGCTCTTGATGGGAATTGTGTTAAATCTGTGGGCCAATTTAGGGAGAGCTGATACCTTTACTAGATAGTCTTCCATATGAACACAGCATGTCTCCCCATTTTTTAAGGTTTTCTGATTTCTTTCATTGGCATTTTGTAGTCTGTAGCACACAGACAGATCCTAACCATGTTTTTTTAGTTTATACTTAAGTATTTCAATTTGCGTCATTATAAATGGTACTAAACTGTAAATTTCAGTTTCTAATTATTCATTGCTAGTATATAGAAATACAAGTGATTTCTGTTTGTTAACCTTCTATCTGTGACCTTCCTAGACTCATTTACTGGAAAGGTTTTTGTTTCTAGAGTCCTTGGGAATTTCTGCATAGACAGTGTCACTCGTGAATGAGGCAGTTTTATTTTCTCCTTTCAAATCTTGTTTCCAATGCCTTTCAGTTTTCTTTTCTTGCTGGATTGCACTGCCTAGGAATTCAATCACCATGCCGAGTAGGGGTGGTGAGGCTGGACATCTTTGTTCCTAATCTTCTAGGGAAAGCACTCAGTCTTTCATCAGGAAGTAGGATGGTGGCCTTAGGGTTTGTCTGTCTGTTTCTTTTTGTTGTTTGTTTGTTTTTGGAGAACCTCTCTATTAGGTTCAGGAAGTTCTATTCCTAGTTTGCTGAGTTGTTTTTTTATTTTTTATCATGAATGGGGTTTGAATTTCATGAGTGCTTTTCTGCTTCAACTGATACGACTAATTTTCTTTCTCTACATTATTAACATGGTGGATTACGTTGATTTTTAAATATTGAACTAATCCAAGAATATTGAAATCTTGGATTAAACCCACTTAGTCATGGTGTCTTGTACTTTTTACATATGGCTGGATCCAATTTGCTAATATTTCCTTGAGGATTCTTGTGTCTCTGTTCATGAGAGTGTTGGTCTGTAGTACTGTGTGTCTGGTTTTGGTATCTGGGTAATGTTGGCTTCATAAAATGAGTTGAGAAGTGTTTCCTCTACTTTTATTTCCTGGAAGGGACTGTGTAGGATTATTATTTCTTTAAATGTTTAGTAAAATTTACCAGTGAAACCATCTGGTTTTGGAGATTTCCTTTTGGGAAGGGTTTTAATGACAGCTTCAGTGTTTCTGCTAATTAGATTACTCAGATTATCTATTTTATCTTCAGTGAGTTTAGTTTATGGTTTTCAAGGATTTGGTTTATTTCATTTAACTTGTTTATGTGCATAACATTGTTCTTAATGTTCCCTTATTGTTGGACAATCTTGAGGGGTCTGTAGTGATACACCATCCCTGGTTCTTAACATGAGTAATTTGTATCTGGTTTCCTTTGATGCTCCTCTGGCAAGACTGACACTTTCATTGATCTTTTCAAAGAACTAGCTTTTGGTGAGGTTGATTTTTTTTTTTCCATTTTTGCCTTTGACGTCATTGTTTTTTGCTCTTCACTCTTTATTTTGGTGACCGGTCCTGTTTGGTGCTATTGATGGGTAGAGTTCTATAAATATAAATCAGGCAAAGCTTCTCAATGGTCTTGTTCCCTCTAGTACATCTTTCATGAGAAGAGGGTCTTCACTTGAGTGTAATCCAGCTGATCCATTATATATTCTGTGGCTAGCAGTTTGTGGCTTATTTAGTAAAAATGAGCCTGTCCCCTACTGTTTTAGCTGTTCCACTTGTAGTGTCCCTTGGCTTGTTCTGTATGGTACAAGTAAGGGTTACGAGTTCTTTTTGTTGTTATTTCAAGTATCAGTCAACCCTAGTTATTTTTATTACTATTATTTTTAAATGAGAAGCATTTTCTTGGGCCAGCAATTTGCTGAAGAATCTTGAAAAGGGAGAGGGGCAGCAGGAAGTGTCCCTGACTCAGAGGGAAGCTGGCTGTGTGTGACGGGAGTTGTCCTTCACGTCTGGGCAGTTGCTGCAGGTTGGTAGCTGTGGGCATGTATCACCCCTGCACCAAAGGTGTCCTCCCCGGCCAGCCTCCTCCATCGTCCTCTTGCGGGGCTGGCACGTGTATGTTTCCACATTGAGCTCTGGTGTCACTTAGTGGGTGGAGGAGCATTGTGACCTCCCCCAAGGGTGTGAATTTTACTTTGGAGGAATGTGGATTCTGCCTGGGAGCTGCAGGGACCTTCACCCTATCTGGTGTCACCACCCTGGGCAGCTGGGTGTCATGATTACTTTTATGTGTCAATTTGACTAGGCCACAGTGCCAAGATGTTTCTGGGATTTTTTAGATGTGATTAACCTTTAAACCAGTAGACTCTGAATAAAGCAGATAACCTTCAGAATGTGGATGGGCCTTATCCTATCAGCTGAAGGCTTCAGAGAAAAGATTGAGGTCCCCTGAGAAAGAAGGAATTCCATCTCCAGACCTGAGGGCTGCCTCAGACTTGAGCTGCAAAATTCCTTCCTGAGTCTCCAGCCTGCCGGCCTGCCCTGAAGAAGTCAGACTTGCCAGGCCCAACAGTCAAGTAAGCCAATTCCTTAGAACAAATGTCTTTCTCTCCTCTCCATCCTATTGGTTTCGATTTCCTCTGGACAGCCCTGATTAATAACTGGGGGGCAGGCAGGTAGCAGCTGTGGCCTCATGTGGAAGATGGAGTTGTTTCTAGTTCTCTGTGGTCATTTTTGCCAGGCTGCAGACCCCTCTGCTCTGCCACGTTTCAGCTGGGACAGTGGCCATGTGTTAAGGACAGTCTCGGGGCCAGTGGGAAATGAGGCCCATTCTCAGGCAGGAGAGGACTATTCCAGATCCTGGTTCTGGAGGGAAAGGACATGTACTGTTCAGCTTTAAGAGCTGAGGCTTTCTTTTTTTTAATGGAGGTACTGGGGATTGAACCCAGGACCTCGTGCATGCTAAGCATGTGCTGCACCACTGAGCTGTTTTCCTCTCCCCTCTGGCCTTTAGGCCATCCAGGATGTGGCTTCTCGCCACATACATGGTCATGACCATGGGGCTGTGGGTTAAACCTGGCCACTTGTAGGAAAGTGCTAATCAAAATCATCAGGCCCCTGGCACTGCACTTAACAAAAATACCCAAAGCCCCCATTTTAGGGGTAAGGAGATGGGGCCTCAAACGGGCAGAGAGACCAGAAGCCTGGGGCCTGTCCCCAGCCCGCCAGTCTTCCCATTGCACCAGGGTCTGCAGCACATCAAACTATGGGACAATACATAGCTAGACGTGGTTAATAAAAATCATTGTGATTTAATAAATAGCAAGGTGCTCCTGTGCAGGCTCCTCCCTGTCAGTCCCAGGGCCCAGCGGGAGAGCGTGATGGATGGACTCAGGACGGGGCCGGAGCTTCCCGCTGGTTTCCAGGAACAACCAGGTAAGGACCTGATGTCATGATGTCCTAAAAATACCCCTTGGAAGAGGCAGGGTGAGGGGAGGGCCACAGTTGCAAAAAAATATAGATTTAGGAGATATTATACAGGTCGGGGGCCACTATACATCTTCCTGGTGAATCTGGGCTTTCTTGGCTCTGGAGCAGAATTTTTCACATAGTTTGAGGAGCTCTGACAAAATGAACACAGACGAGGCCAATCCAGTTAAAAGCAATAGATCTGCCAAAAGGGGAAAAGAAAGGTCAGTGCAGGATGTGCCCAGCTGGCCTGGCTGCAGAGTTCAGGTTCCCTACGCTTGGTTCTCAGTTGCAGACAGAGGTCAGGGGCCCAGGACTTTCCCTTCCCCTGATGGGGCAGAGATCTCCCCAACTCAGGATCCAAAAGCCTGCAGAGCCAGCTCCACAAGGACCAACTGGTCTTTCCAGGTGGCTCAGAGCTGGGTGGGGCGGTATTACCAACGTCAGCTGTAAGAGACGCCAGGTGCCCTGTCCAGCCCCCAGGCTTGCCCCAGCGGACTGAGCCCTAAATTCTCCCCCAACCCCTCTCCTGGCAAACACTGTGCTCAGGCACAGTCCTGGCACTTTCCTTAGATTTCACAAGCTGACATAATTCCCCATGGATGGAAGCATCTGTAAAAACACTTTTTGGTTTTTTTTTTGGTCTGTGCCCACAGGGCAACCCCCAGGGACCCTGTCTTTTAGATTTTGGGGGAGGAAAAAGCTGAACTTCCAGTCTCACTTGCAGGTTTTCAGAGCCCTTGTTTCCACCACCTCAAATGCCACTGATCATTTCGCAATCCTTCTGGATGAGTGGGGACCCCCACCCCACCAGCCCCCTTGCTCTGTGGCTTCCCAGTGGGATCGGCCAAAGGAAAGCTAGGGCCACAGGAAGGGAGGAGAACGGGGCGGGCAGTTTCCTGATGCTCTAGTCACCCCCTTTCCAGGCGACCCTCTCCCACTTCTGTTACCACTGCTTCAGACAGGAGGCCAAGCCACCTGGGCAGCTTCCAAAGAATGGGGATCTGCCAAAAGCCTGGTGAAGATGCAGGGGAGTCACTGTGGTTCTGCACATGGCATGTGTGCTTGCGGTCCAGAGAGCTGGTCACTGCATGTGTGTCCCACTCCTGTTCTCCAGGAAAGTGGGGTCCCAGAGACACAGACCCTGTTAAAAACCCTGAAGGGGCAAACTTACCTCTAAGCTGGGGGCTTGCAGCATGTCACAGGCTGAGCCCAGACTGTAGCCCATCCCGGCGTCACCCCTGGGCCTCACTGTACCTGCTGTGAGCTGAGCCTCCTGCCCCAGGGGCAAGGGGTTGGCTAGGATGCTGAACACCCTCTGCTTTCCTCCGACTCCTAGCTGGTGCCTCCTCCTCCGTGGTTCCCGAGTTCTCCATGCCCCCATTACATTGCCCCCTGACCCAGTGCAGATGCCCAGGCATGAGCCTAGTCCTTTGAGGACAGAATGGCCCCACGTAGGGACCGTGGGCCTAGAAAGCTCTGCAGCCGCCCTGTGCAGGTGGTGACCCCTCCACTTACCGAGCACTCCCAGGTTCTCTGTCTGGAAGACCTTCTGCAGGGGTGGCACGTAAATCACGGCCATCTGCCCCAGAATGGACCCGAGCACGGAGTAGAGGAACGTGCGGTTCCCGAGGAAACCAATCTCAAATATCAGCTTGGTCTGTGGGGGAGAAGGGCATGGCCATCACATGCTGCGCATCACATGCCTGCAGGTGCCTCCACGAAGCAGCTCCTCCAAGCAGAACTGTGAGACTCCGGCAGTAAGAACAGGATCCGGTTCTGCTGGGAAGACCAGGGCAGGAGGGGTTGGGGGGGAATGGAGCGGCATCTCACCTGGGAGCGGCAGGTCAAGGCGTTGAAGAGGTCGAAAGAACACAAAACGGTAAAGGTCATGGTCGTGGTGCGCGGGGTGCTCGCCTTGTCCTCCGGGATCTGGAGAGCGAGGACACAGGATGAGCCGGCCCTAACCCAGAGCCTGGGGAGGGAGCTGGCATGCACAGTGCAGGCCTGGTGTTGCTGCTCCTGTCCCAGCCGCAGTGGGTTCAAGTTTTACTAGGACTGGGTCCATTGGTGTAGCCCAAGGGTGCGGCTCCCACCCACCCTGCCCTGGACCTGACCCTGCGCTACCCAGCACGGTAAGGGGCCATCAACCCTTCCTGAGGGAGCCCTTGACATGAGGGGGTGGAAACCTCGCACAGGTAAAGTAGGTGATGTTGCCTTCCAGGAGGTGACCCCTCTACAGTGACACCCACTTAGCAGAATGTCACTTCCTACACTGAAAGCAGAAGACGCTGCCCCCACCAAGAGCTAGGGCCTCAGAGGCTGAATGAACCAAGCGGCTCCCCCCACCCAACCCCCCCAAGTCAGGACTCATTCTGGCTGACATTGTGGTGGTGGGGCTGCAGCCAAGGGTGAGAACGACTCCTGGGGAGAAGGTTCTGGCAGTTCTCACGTGACTTCCCCATTGCCAGTGAGAGACAGCAGTCACACTCCTCCCTGAGTGCATCTGCTGGACCAGAGGTTCTCAGGAGATGCCCCTCGGAGGGGGGTGGTGTTAAAACAGTCTGACTCGAGGGGTCTTGGGTGGGGCCTGGACATCTGCATCTCACAAGCTCCCAGGGATGTGGGGACCCCGCTCTGAGGACCACTATGTTAGAACAGGAAAGCCTGTGCCTCCCCCGCCAGCCCAGGGCTGGACAAAGGCAGCGCCTCTACCATCTTCCAGGGTAGGCGAGTTGCAGGAAAGAGCCAAGCCCCTCTGGCAGAGGCGGTGGGGAGTGCTGGAAAAAAATTGGGTGGTTGTCCAGTGTCCCATCTGTCCTGCCCTTGGGCGACCTGGGGTCTAACCACCTGGACAGATCACCTAATTCTCCCTCTGGATCACTGATCTCAGCAACAGCTCTGCCTGTACCTGTAGGTCACGAGATGACACACAATAAGATCCCCCCCAAATCACCTCCTGGGAGTCAGACACGAGTTGCTTTTAGTAGATTTCAGATTGTTCCTTGGTGACAGTAGAACGTAGGAGAGGCATTTAGACCAAAGTCTGATTTTTTTTCGCTGCCTATGTGGCCTCACCTCCCTTCTGCAGGTCAGCTCCTCACACCCACCCCACTCCCCCTGAGTGTGTCCATTTGTCTCCCCTCCTCCACCCCCTGCCCCATGTTTGCCCCACACAGGCGCTCTGAATACCTGCTTGATGGGCCCACAAGGGCATCCCTTACCTCCTTCCAGAAGATAAAGAGGGTCCCACTGATGATGGTGGTGGCTGACAGGAGGATTCTCAGGACAAGGGCTCTGCTGAGAATTGTGTCCTTGATGTTGCGTGGTGGCTGCCGGAGGGTGTCCCTGTCGACCGGCTCTACCCCCAAGCTGCTCAAAACAAAAACCGGACACAAACCACTGAAGACGTGCAGTGGTTAAATACATAAGGACACCTGGAGAAGGTCCCTGTCAGAGGCCTGGACAGGCCGTGTCAATGTCTCCAGGTCCTCCCTGGCTCCTCCTGTCTCATGTCCTGGGCCATCTCCCTAACCACCCAGCCCCTTGGCTCCTCCGGGTGCCCCTAACCTGGACCCCACCCTCACCTGTCCCCAAGCCTGGAGACAAAATACCCACACCCTCTAGCTGACCACGTGGTCCTGAACCACACCTGGTGGTTCCTCAGAGGCAATTTCCATGACCTAGACACCACCCCCACCCCAGGGTGGGTCTGGCCAGGAGAAAGGGGTTCCAGCCCTGCGCACTGAAGAGCTCCCATCAGTGGGAGGAGGCTGGGTGGGGCCCTCTCTGAGCAGATATGGCTGGAGTCCAGCTTCACTCGCAGCCCCATCCTGAAGGAGAGCATGTAGGAGAGGGGACCCTCGCGCTGGGCATGGGGGGAACAGTAGGACCCTCTGGCCAGCTGTCACTTGTGACGATTAATGGTAACAATTCAGCTGCACTGAGGATACCACCCAGTACGTGCTCCAGCACAGTGAAGCACCTCGCTTACTCATGCAGGCTTCCAGAGCACACCCACCTGCAGCATTCAGCCAGCCTCACTCTCCCTGTTCACCCAGTCACTTCCTGAGCACCTACTAGGGCCAAGCACCATTGTGGGAGCCAGGAACAAAACAAAACCCTTGCCTCCAAAAGGGGGATGAATTATGATCAGGTAAACCAGGACATATGTTCCCTTCTAGGGAAAAATAAAGCAAGGTAAGGTGACTGGGAGGGAGGAGGCTGCTGCTAGAGCAATAAGGGAGAAATTAACAACGTTGTAAATCAACTATACCTCACTTTAAAAAAGTAATCAGCGAGGACTTCTTGGAGGCAGTGACCCCAAATAAAGAGAGGGCTATGCGGGTAGCCCAGGGAGAGCACTCCAGGCAGAGAAGCAGAAAGCTCCATCCTCCTGCCTGCCTGCCCACCAAGCACTGCCTCCTGTGTCCCACTCTGCTCTCCACGTTCCTGTCAGCTGGCTGCCTCACCTCTGTGCCGGCGGCCCGTCCATGATGATGTTGATCCAGAGAATCTGCATGGCATTGAGAGGGCTGGGCAGGTTGCACACAGTGGACAGAGTGATGAGGCTCAAGGCTGAGATGCTTCTGCGGGGCACACACAGCACTGTCACCAGCTGCTCCCAGATGCACGCACAGCACCAGGCACCCTGAGGGACGCTGGCTTTGACTTACGTGCTCAGCTGAAATCGGATGAAGTTCTTGATGTTATGAAAAATCCCCTTGCCTTCCTCCACCGCATTCCTGCAAGAGAGGAGAAAGCATTTATCACAAAGAGGGCCTGGTGGGAAAGTCCAGCCAACTCTGGGCAGCTGCTAAAGTAAGTGACAGTGTCACCCAGAGGTGATGTCATCCTTGCCCCCCCCAAATCCCTGTTTCTCCTTGCTGGTATTCTTGGAGACATACCAGGAGAGGATGATGATGTCCTAATAGGTGACATCAGTTCCTGGGGACTGGTCTTCCAAGCCACAATTACCCTTCCGTCCAAAGATTATAGGTCATTCTCTCATCCAAGTCAGGGACCCAGCCCTCGCCCAGGGCTCCTGAAGTGCCCGCTGCCCCTTGGTGATTCCCAAGGAGAAAAGGCCCCCATGACCCTGCTTTCAGTAGTGGGTGGCCCCAGGGACACCTTGTATATCCATCAGAGCAGATCCCAGGGGCTGCCACCCCAGGCATTTTTGCCACTAAAATAAAACACCTAAAGAGCAACTTACATGATGGCTGAGAAGTCATCATCCACCAGGATCATGTTGGCAGCCTCCTTGCTGACGTCCGTCCCCATCTGCCCCATGGAGATCCCGATGTCTGCTGACTTCAGAGCGACAGCATCGTTTACTCCATCCCCTGTCATGGCCACGATCGCCCCCGACTCCTGCAAAGCCTTTGCAAAGAGGAAACCAGTAGAGGCAGCATGAGGACCTTCCTTTTCCAGAACCTTCCTTGGCATCACCATGCCAACTAATAACTGGCTCGCCATCTGGTCCTACAAGAATGAAGTCACCAGCCACTGCAGTCACTGACCTTCGATTCACCCTGGAGGGAGTTCAGAGCAGAGATAGCGAATGAGGCGCTCTGTGCTCTGGGAAAAACTGGCAGAATGAGCCTTCAGATACTCTCAGGAGGAGATTTTATGAGCCCAATTTCTTGCATCTTCTCATATCGAGGAAATCTCTAAGATCATTTGTGCCTAGCAGCAACCTTCTGCCAAAATGTGTCCTTGACGGCACATACCCTCTTTACTAATATCACACACCTACTGACCCTGTCTCACCTCTTTGGAGCAGTTCCTCTGAGCTGAGAGGCTCTCTACCTGGTTGTAGTCCTCATTTTTCCCCAAATAAAACTTAACTCTCAACTCTCGCATTGTGCTTTTTTTTCAGTCAACAACCATTAGCAAATCATAATTAACAACTCTTCTCCTGAACCCATGAGGTGCCTAGTAGGCATTAACATTTCTTTGCAGGATGACTTACATGGAGCTTTATTCTCTAGAACTAAAAATATCCCAAAGTTGCATAAAAAAACCCCACAAGCCTTAAATAGCAACTTTTCAAAGCACCCATGTGCAATAAAACCACACGTTTGCAGGGGTCTCTCATTCCCACACTTTCATTTTATGCACAATCAGAAGGTGAAGTCAACTCTTTACTGGGCACCTGCTTTGGGTGAGGGACCTGCTGAGAGCTTCATGGGCCTGGCTTCATTTCGTCCTCTCCCAACCTTGTGAAGCAGCTGGTGTCACTCACATTATCCCCACTTTACAGATGAGGAAACTGAGGCCCGGAGTTGATTAACAACTCCAGGTGCAGCCAAAGGGCACCTGCCCAATGAAGGCTTGGCCCTGTGTTTCTCCCTTGGCACCACCCAGTTCCTGCTCCCTGCTTTTGGTGTATGTGGCATGGGGTCCCAGTTCTGCCCTCCCCAGAGACTGCTGTGGCCATCCTGGGCTGTGCCCTGAGGGATGAGGGAGGAACACAACTGACCTTTATAATTTTGAGTTTGTGCTTTGGGCTGGTCCTGAAGAAGACAGACACCTGGATACAGAGAGGAAAGAGGCGGCCATCAGTGAATGCGGAGGTAGAAACACCACTCCCCACCCCCTGGCTCCTCTGAACCTGGGTGGACCCCACCTTCCTGACGCGCTCAGCCAGCTCGCCCTGCTCCGCACTCTCCACCTCCTCCCCGGACATGGCGTTCAGTTTCCCGTTGCACAGACCGATGCTCCTTCCTGTGGGGTGGGGACAGTCCTTCACTGCTCCAAGGCCCTCGCCCCTTCCTCCACCCACCTGACATCAGGCCCTGCCTTGGCCACCAGTAACATGAATGCAGCCACCATGGCCCCAGTCACAGCCCACCTGCTATGGCATGTGATCTTAATTCTAGCCACAGGATGAACTGGCAACAAACACCTTATGGAAACCGAGAGGGAAGTGAATTTCCCAAGGTCACAGAGCTGGTAAATGCTAGTCCTGGAAACTGACATGGTTCTTTCTGTTTGATTCCAGAGTCTATGATCCTGCCAAGGTGCCAGGCTGCCTCAAGACAGAAGAGGGAGAAAACCAAGGTGTGACAGCCCTCCTAAGAGTAGTAAGTAAGGCAGGAGGAGGAGGGTTGCTAGCCTTCTGCTGATGAAGCCCCTGAGGGTCAGAGTGGCTCAGTGATTTGCCAAGGGCACACCTCTAGGGGCAGAAGCCAGACTGGAAACCCTGCACTGGGAACGACGCTGCCTGTGAAGGTGAGATCATGGATGGAAAGGCCTGGCACACAGGAAGTTTTCGGTACGCACAGGTCTTTTCCTCTTTAGGAGCACCTGCCGACATCTTAAAGATGAACACCCCCTCAGAAGGTGGGATGCTGGTCCTTGAACCTCAGAATCTCTTCCAGGCACTTGGAAGGGAGTTGTGAGCTCTCCTGACCAGGACCACCGAGGATTAACCAGTGGTAGCGACCCTCACCCTCCACCCCCTTCCCCGGTTACCTATCGCCAAGGCTGTCTCCAGAGCATCTCCTGTTATCATTTTCACGGACATGCCTGATGCAGAGAGCACTTGTACTGCTTCCTTCACACCAGCCCTTGGGGGGTCGATGATTCCAATGAGACCCAGAAATGTCAGCCTCCCCATCTCGGGCCCAGAAGCCAGGGCCAGCACTGCAGACAGAGAAAGACCCGCAAAGGTTCAGAAGATGTTTGCCTGCAGTCAGCCCCGGCCCCTCTGTGTCCCAGACCCTCTTCTGTCTACAAGAGGCTTGGGCACTAAGTTCCTGGACCACAAAGGGAAGGTGAAGACCTTTCCAGTGGATATCAGGCCCGTGTGGGGCATGGCTGTTGATGGCTTGCCCACAGTGAAAAGCAGAGCTGGAGACAGCTTGCCCGGGGAAACGGGGCTCTGTCCACTGTGATCTAGTCCCAACCCCACCCCAGGAGGGGCAGCCATGAGGAGACCTGTGGGATGGCATACGAGGGCCACATGGATAGAGAGGTCTCTGGGTCAGTGGCACAGAAGCTTGCCCCGGCTCTTGGGGACAAGTGCTCTGAAAGGGGGTGGCATGAGAAGTGACCTTGCTTTGTCACCTTACTGATGCTGGAGGAAGGCTGTGGCCAAGAAATTCCAGCTGCATCCTCCTCAGTCCTTATTTGGTACCAGTGGTGCAAGGGGACACCCTCTTTCCCGAAGTGACCCTCCCCGCCCTGCTAGGCTAGGCTCTGTCCCAGCTCCCATGGCCTCACCTTATACACTTGTCAGCAAGCTGCTAGCAAGTTGTAATTACCATTCCCTGACGGGGAAAACCAAGGCAAGGGAAACCAATGTGGCAATCCAACGCTTCTTACTTTGCCCTGAGGGATTGCACGTGTTCTGGAGTGTTCTTAGACACTTTCTCTGAAAACGGACAGACACCATACAAGACACTGACATACGACACTATGTACATTTACGTACAAGAGCTTTGTGTCCTCCTGACAGTGAGCAGTAAGCAAGATGACCAGTCAGGAAAATCAATGTTTCTGGGGCATCCCATTTGTCTGCCTTAGAAAACTCAGGACCTCTTCTCGCACACCTGAGCTGCATCTGGATTAACACTTGGCATCATCTGGCGCTGGGGATGGGTGGGGGCTTCCTGTCTTTCATCTGCCCAGGAAAGTCCACGCTGGCTTTACTTGCATTAGCACCCGCCTGATGCCATTCTGACCAGCACCTTACTGACCAGGAGCCCTGCATATGAAAGCAAACTTAAGGCCCAGCACTGACCGCGCAGGCCAAGCGAGCCCATCCTCTTCTCCTCCTGCTGGCAGAAGGATCTCTGTTGAGGCGTCAGTGGCAGAGGGATGCCCCCGTTGTTGTACGTGGTACAGTAACGAATCACTTCCTCAAAGGCCCCCTTCATGAAGTAAATATCTTCCTGCTCCTTGAAAAAAAAAAAAACGAAACGAAAAAAATCCGCTGTCATTGGCTGCTTCAGCTCTTGGTGGCCTTCAGCTCATCCACACAGAGATGTTCACGGAGGGGTTAGTTATCCTGGACCGTCATCGTTCACCAGTACAGGACAGGTCACAGGAAATCCACACGATGGAATGCCATGTAGCCCATTAAGGGGCAAGGCTGATCTTTGACCCAAACCACCCCTGCTCTGCATCAGGCCCCCTTGTTCATGTCGCTCAGAGCACCCCCACTTTTCATTAGCTGGTCTTATCCCAGCCAGCACTGTGCCTCTAAGTGTGTGACTGCTAGACATCAATCTCAGGTAGACTTCGGAGAGAAGAGGCACCATTTCTCTCGTCTGCAGCCGCACTTGCCTCCTAAGAGTGAGCCCACGTGAGCAGCTGACCCTTTTCCTGTATATTAGATAAGCTGTATCCCAGAGACCGTGAGCTCCAGGTGGCAGGCGCTGTCACTGTGGGTCACACTG